GTCCCCGCCCCGCCCGCCCCGCGCCTGCCGGAAGGGCACCTTGCCAGCTGCTGAACTTGACGGTGGGCCGTGCGGGCATGACGGCGGCGGCGGCTCCGGGGGGCGTGGGCCCCGGCCTGGACGCTCGGCTGGGCCAGGAGACGGAGCGGTGGCTGCGATGGGACAAGGTGAGGGGCGCCCGCGAGGCTGGGGGCTCCCGGGGGAGGTGGCGCGAGCACCCTGCTCCACGGGCGCGGCCCCGCCGCCGCCAGTGAGGGTGCGAGCGCTTCCTTCCTTGCTTGCTCACCACCGGCTAGGGACGCGGCGGCAGCCGGGCCTCCCCGGCCTGGTCTGCCTGTGTCAGAGCACGACTTTCCCGGGAAGTTTGTCCCTGGACAATAGCTGTCACCCGGCGGGCCGGGGTTGCAAAGTCGGGAGTGGAGCATCGAGCGGCGCCCGGAAGTTCAGGGGTCTGGCAGAGGGTAGCAGTGGTTCCTGTCACTCGGGCTGATGGACCTAGGCCATAGCCTGTGCACTTCCTCCCGACACCCCCCCCCCCACCACATCCTCCTCAGCCCTTAGCACTCCACCCCCCCCCCCGGAATAATTCCTTCTTGCCTCCTCTTTATGCCCCTTAGAGCCCTGCAAAGCTACATTCATTTCCACCTCCCCCAGGTGCAAAAATAGATCTTCTTGGTTCCACCTGCCATGATTCTGGAGTCTCCATCCTGCCTCTTTCCTGCGGAAATGGGAGGGAACCCCTTTGCAATAACCCTCCACCCCTCCCCTAACTTTTCTGCTTTTCACTATCTCAGCTGCTGGAGAAAAGAAAGAGGACCTGCTTTCACTGTCTCTTCTTTCTAACTTGAGTCTGGCTTCTTCTAACTTGAGTTTCACTTGTTCTGTTGCTCATGCTGTTTGTTTTCCTAGAATCATCCTCTCCACTCTTATGCTGAACTTATTTCTCTCATTGTGTCTCATGGTTTGGGTCTGAACTTACATGTGACTTGTGAGAGAGGCTTTCCTGGCTGCCTGTAGTAAATTATTTCTCCCTAATACCCTCTGTAAACATCCTGCTCTTTTCCTTCACAGTTTTTACTGCAGTCAGTCCAATTAACAAAGCAAGAACCTGGAGGTTTATTTGTTAAACCTTCAGAGGTGATTTCAGAGGCATGATGACCAAGTACACTGCTGAGGGGAGCAGCAGGTGGTACAGGAGAGGTCTGCTGTGCCATGTGGGTCACCTCCCTGAAGGGGGGATCAAACTCGTGCTGAAGTGGTTGCCCCTAGATTGGTAGTGTTGCGCTTTGACAACCATTGCACCACCAGGGAGGGCTCTTGAATATTTTAACAAATTGTTGAACAAGGGAACACATTTTCCTTTTGCAGTGAGTCACAGCAAACCATATAGCTGGTCTGTCTGCTTCCTATCTAACGTCCATGGGCTATAGGATCTCATAGTGTACTACATTTGGTGTACCTAAAATATTTATTGAATGAAGAAGATTGCAAGCCCATCAGTAAGGACCAGGTCTTTCTGCCTACTCACTGGCCCCTGTACCAAGAATGTCCTGATGCTGTGGACAAATTCTTGCTGACTTTGTCTTCCTGGAAAAACAGCCTTGTAATTCTTTAGGAAAGAACAGTATTTCCATTTCTGGTAACTTAGTTGGACACTCAATTCTTTTGAAAAGAATTCAATGTGAATTCTTTTAAAGTCATAGGAAGAACTGTCCTGTTCCATAAAATGTCCCTGTAAAGAAATGCAAATCTGATTTCCACAACAAGTTCTATCTGTAGAGAAAGCCAGCACCTCCCTGGGTATAGACAAAGTGGTATTGCCCACGGCTGAAAAATTTCAGCCAGCACTTAGAAGCTATTACCAGTCCTTTCAGTGTGAGTTCAACCCCCTGGCCAGGAAGAGCAGACCTCTCCTGTCTCACCTGCTGCTCCCCACAGCAGTGTATTTTAGTAGATCTGCCTGTTCTGCTCCCAACTCTGCCTCTGGAGAATCCCCTCACCTCTCTGCATCTCTGGCCTACACCTCAGCTCTTGTATACATAAATAAATCTTAAAAAAGAAACAAAAACCACTTCAGTCACTTCTCTTTTTCTTTCCTCACTCACTTTCTTCTGTTGAGACAGGCACCTGGGAACAGCCTGCCAGCCATGAGCATTGTAGCCTCGTGCCTGAATCCCCCAGGGAAAGGCAGGTGGCTTTTCATCCCTGCCTGCCTTCAGCCCTGTGTGGTTCTCTGCTTTGGTCTGGCTCAGGGCTGATTCAAGTCTTTGCTGCTCTCTGGGTATTTCCTTCTTATTTTACCACCTCTTCCTCTTAGACTATTTGGCCTTTTATGGCTCTCAAAGGCCAAGTAATATTTTCCAAATCTGTGCTGTGAATGACAAGTATTGGGTGTGACCATGAAGTCTGTTTTCTCATCCATTAATCAAATACTAATTAAAACTCATTTGTGTTCCAAATGAGCCTCTGTTTAGATTGTGCTCTATAATCAGCCTACTGCTTTTTAAGGACAAAAAATGGACTTTTACATGATTGCTTTTGAATCTGCTGTAATCTGGAGATGTGGGCTTAATTCCAGAAAGCGCAGGTTTTATTGCAATTGCATATGAAAGTTTAATTGAGCAACTACATCTTGCCTTTGTATTCATCTAGTTGGGTGATGACTATGAAGTAGAAATATATTATATCCTCTGTTGTTTTCCTGAGTTCTTCATTTAAATGTCTGATAGGAAGTTAATGTGATTTCTCCATTCTTAACGTTATCTGCAACTATTGTATAAAGAATATATGATAATATATAATGAACTTAAATGATTATGTGAGTGTCTATTTGAAGCAGTTAGTATAACAGAAAGGCAGGAGGTTAATGCAAGTTAAGCAACAAATTTCCCCTCTGATGTTCCCCACTTATAAAATGCAATTTATATTTGCTGCCTTCTGTAGTCATTGCAGTCTGCAAAGATTCAACTTTGACCAGGTACGTGAAAGCCTTTACAAATCACAAACACTACAAAAAGAAGGTCTTGGTGTGATTTCATCACTTTCTGGGGAAATTTGATTTGCTTTGAATACAGCCAAGTACCAGCTAAAGAAAGATGATTCACATGTAAACCACCTTTAAACCACCTCAAAACCACCATGTAGGGGACATTCTAGATTATCTCCATTTGACAGCTGAGGAAACTGGGAATGCAAGAAGCTCCATAATCTTCCCAAGTGCATAGACTTGGTAGGTGAAGGTGTGGCTGAGAATCTATGCTGGATGTTAGCCCCCAAAACCTGTGTGTTCATGAAGGAAATAATCTTAATACAAGGGAAAAAATATTTCTACCTCTACTGAGAACTTCTGACACCAAATGTGTGGACTTCCCACACCAAGCCATAAACATGGTACGGTTTTCTGGGGACCCCACCCTAACCTAGTAAGCAAGAGGGCAAAGCCACCTTCACAGCTCCATCCTATGGGCAGAAACCAGTGTGTGTGGGGGAGGAGGGGGGGATGGTTTTACATCTGTGCAAGTCTTTTGACAAGAAAAAAAAATCAAATCCTGCATTGCCCTCCTCTAGCAACAGTATATCCTTAGGTGAGAAAAACTTCCAAGTAGAAGCCCTTCATAGGACCCCCAAATCTGTCGACTCTAAATGGATTCTGCTGTCCTCCACATAAAGACAAGACACACGCTTAGAGCATAAATGTGCATAAATGTTTGCCATGAATCTGAGGCATCTTCTGGTTGAGACCCACAGGAAAGCTGCAGGGGGGCCAGCTAGACCAGGAAGACTGGAAAGGAAAGCGCAGAACCCAAACCCAAATCAGGGTAAAGGCTCCCGTCTCTCACCCAGTCACTGCCCCTCTCGAGGGCCACCACCCATGTCCCCAGTCCCTGGCACAAGCCCAAGGCTGAGAAGCGAGCAGGACTCTTCACACGTCTCTCTGCTGCATGTACCTCCCTCAGCTCTCCATCACCCTCTCTCCAGCTCCTCTTCCAGGCTTTCCTGGATTCTCCCACCTGCCCTGCTGCACCTTCCTGAGGATGGGGCAGGAAACCTGGAGTACCCCGCCCCCCTTCTGGAGATTACAGAGAAGACTCACAGAGCTCACAAAGGCCCTTTATCACTGTTGCTACTGGTTTTATTATAGGGACACAACTTAGAAACAGCCAGATGGAAGAAATTGCAGGTGAGGTTCAGGGGAGGGAAACAGCTTCCAAGCCAGCAGTCGGTGCCCTCATCCACCTCCCCCGTCCACCAACCTGAAGTCCTAGACCCTCTCATTTAGGGTGTTTTTGGGGAAATTCCAGTACATAAGCACGATTGATTAAGTCACTGTTGTTGGAGACTGAACACTCCTTTTCCAACCCCTCCCCTTTCCCTGGAAGTCACCGGGAGGGACTGACAGCCCCCAGGACACTCCAACCCAGAGGTTGGTTTCTGGGGCAGCCAGCCCACCTGCTCTAAGAGCTGCTAGCTCACTAGCATGAACTCTGGTTTGGCTGAAAGGGGCTGTTGAAGAATAACAAAAGATGATCTTTTCACTCTAAGCACTCCGGAATTCCAAGAGCTTTAGAAACGGTGTAGAACTGGGAACAAAAGGCAGTCTATATGGATGATACCACAATATCATACATTTTAAGAAAAAAAAAACTGACTTTACATTGCAAATTTTAGAAACATCAGAAAATTGAAAAGCACATATATTTGAAATGGTTGTCTTTTTATTTTGATTCAGACTTTTAAAATTCTTTTCACCTGCCTATATCTGGTGTGTTTTACAGAATCCTTTAACTTTGGCGTCAGTGAAAAAACTGATTGCAGAAGGTAACCAGGAAGAGCTGCAGGCGTGTTTTGGAGCGCGGATGGAGTTTGGGACAGCTGGCCTGCGCGCCGCCATGGGACCCGGGGTTTCTCGCATGAACGACTTGACCATCATCCAGACTACTCAGGTAGCTTGTTTATGACTCGGTTACTCCTCACATGGCCCCAGCTTTAAAAGGTAAACTGAGGCATATTAAAAAAAAATTTTAACATGTATTTGAGTGAATCCACAGCAAGGCAGTACCGAACCAGAGGTCTTCACATATCAGGGTCTCAGCTCATAGGAGCTGGGGAGGATTTATAGAGAAACTGAGGTAGCAAAGGAAACTGGTGATTGGTTTTAGCTGGGATTCTTGCTTTATTCTGGAAGAGCCTACTTGCTAGTTTGTAATTGGTTGGCCTCATGTTTTGATTTCTTAACCTAGAGACTTTTTCAGGAGGAAGAGGTCTTGGTTTGTTTAAGGCAGAAGGACCACATCTGTCTGAGGGCTCCTTGTTTCATTAGCTCCAGGCTCCTTCTGTTTTTGGCAGGACTAAGTTGTTTCAGTTATGGTCTGGTCTTGTGGGCTGGCCTGGGTGTAGGAGATACATACTCCATCGGGAAGGGGCTTCCTGGTTGCTGAAGCAGTGTTTGTGGCAAAGTGTAGCGATTCACTCACTCATTCACCTGCCTACTAGGTGCCAGGTATTTGGGGATATGAGAATGATTAAAACAGATAGAGTCCCTTGTGCAGCTTTCAAGTCAGGGCAAATCCCCCAACTCAAACTGCTGGACTGACTTTTTTTTTTAAGATTTATTTATTTATGCATACAGAACGGGGGTACAAGCCAAAGGTGTAGGGGCAGTGAGAGGATCACCAGAGACAGAGAGGGGAGCAGAACAGACAGATTGATGAAGTACGCTGCTGGAGGAGCAGCAGGCGGGTTAGGAGAGGTCTGCCGCCCCATGTGGGTCAGGGTCACCTCCAGGGCTGGGGATCGAACTCACACTGAAGCGGCTGCAACCAGCTTGCAGTGCTGTGTCCTTACCTGTTGCACCACCAGGGAGGGCCCTGGACTGACTTTTATGACTTTGTCATTTTGTTGTGATATGGACACAAATATTGAAAAGCTTTTTTTCTAACTGCTGGAATTACCAAGAATCACTTCTCTTGAGTTTAATGTATAGTTTATGTGGAAATGATTGTTGAGTTCCTTTGATTCCATTTGTGTTCAGATCCCACTGTTCAGACTAGCAAGGGAGCCTCTGACAGAACAGAAAAGCAGCCGTTCTGTATCAAACGTTCTCTTTCTGAGAAAAATGGAACAGAACAGTTGACTCCATTTCTTCAACTATTTGTGTTAAGGGTTGAAGGATGTCCTAAAGGAACTCTGCAGAGTCTTATGGACTCCGCCCCCTACTCCAGCTTTCTGGACCCTACACCCTACTCCAGTGATTGGGAACTATAACTCCCCACAGTACCAGGGAGAGAACTGCAAGCACCGAAGGGCGGAGCTAGCAGGAATTCTGGGACATTCCGGGCATAAATTGGGTGCAATTGCATCTCTTGCTCTCTCGCTCAGGAAGTAGCTCTCCTGACCTCGTGACTCTGTGTGTTCAGTCAGCCGAGCAGTAAGCTATTGCAGTTACTTTGTATTCCGTTCTCTTTCCCTGGGTTGTTTCCTATTCCTTTCCCCTTTTGTGAATAAACCTGTTATTGACCCTTTTGTGTGTACCTGCAGTATAAGTGAGTTGTGAGCGCGCGGGTGAGGCCCCACAGACAGGCGGCCCAGTCCATTCTTGGCTTCCCTGTAACACTTGGACTTGATAAAAATGATCATCACCTTAATTCTGAAAAGAAAATGCTGGAAACCTTCATAATGATGATGATAGGTACCTTACATATACTTCTCATCTGATGACAGGTAGAGCTGGGCATGTTTAGCAAAACCATAATAAGGTTACAGAGTTGTCATGGAAATCCCTAGACACAGTCTCCTGCAAGGAGTTGAGTTTTTGGAGGGAAGGTTTGAGTGGAGTGAGTCTGAGAATCCTGTTTTAGTTTATGGAATTTTGCTATGGGGTAACTGTTTCAACCAGAGTCAGACACCAGATCTTTATCTTTTCTCTAGAATAATTATACCTATTCTCTTAGCCATTCTCTCAGGTTCTCAAACTTAGTGAACACCAGAAATTTTTGTTATATAAATTGTGTTATTTTTTTATTGAGGAGATGTGCGTTTCCTATAGTGTAGAAGATTCAGCTCTATAGATCCATGCCTCTTAAGGTGGATGTTACCACACCACACCCACCACCAGTGCACCCGTAATCCTTCACCCAGTCCACTGGCTCTCTACTGCTTTGCTTTCTGCATCTCACTCCCAGCTCTAGTATCTCAATTCCATAGTTAGATTTTGGCACAGGGGTTAGATTTTGTGGACTTTATTTTATATTCCTCATATGAGTGAATTGCCTGGAACACCAGATCGTTTAGAGCTATTTTGGAGATAGGAGGATTTTGGACAAGGCTGAGTGCATCTTGTTCCCTAGAACTTGGGGACCATGATGCAGGAGTCAGCTGGGGCTGGGGAGATGGCACCGTCACGGATGTGAGCCTCACAGTATGAGGCATCTCAGGGGTGGGGGGCCCACAAAACTAATACTGATTTCCTTGTGTTGCTCAGCCTCAAAAGATATGCCAAAAAAATACTTTTGTCAGGAAAACACTAAAGGCATTCAAAATTGACATTGCTCTAGCAAGAAAGCTAGTTACCCCCTCTAGCAAAATTAAGTTATATTTATTTTTCACAAGGCTTCCTTCAGCCAAAATGAAATAAGTAATATAAGCTATCATTATTACCCAATTAATCAGAGGTCTCTTTGTTCTATAATTAAACCTATTTTATCCAGCAATCTAAATCAATTGAATTCAAAGTTCAGTGTTTTAATCTTCTTTATTACAGATTGTGATTTTAGTGCAATCACTGAGCTAAATTGTGCGTTTCATCACTTCTAGGCAAGTGCTAGAAGCCCAAAGGCTGCATAATTTTATTTGTATAACTGCCCACACCCTGTAATTGGACTGATATGGACTCATTAAAACCTCATTTGTTGTAAGGCCCTCCCTGGTGGTGCAACAGGTTAAAGCGCAGCACAATGAAGCTATCTGCAGCCACTGCAGCACCAGGTCGATCTCTGGGCAGAGAGCTGACCCACATGGCGCGGCAGGCCTCTGCTGACCTGCCCACTCTCCCTTCAGCAGTGTACTTTGTCCATCTGCCTGTTCTGTTTCCCGTTCTGTCTCTGGTGAATCCTCTCACCTCATCCTGTACCCCAGTTCTGTATGCATGAATAAATAAATCTTTAAAAAAAACTCTTTCTGTTGTAAAACAATTTCACAAAAGCAGACTAATAGGTCTTTGACCTATTAATGTTACAAAGTAGGTAGAAGCAATGGAAACATGTCTCTGTCATTAGCCAGACCTTTTATTTGTTTACTTATTTATATCTTTATTTTTGTGTTTTCCTTGTAAATTCCCACCACCAATTCTTTGCACCTGTTCCTTTGCAGAATGCCTGTCATTTATGGCTCTTGTTTATTCAGGCATTTTAGAATGAGTATAAAGAAAGTGGTATAGCCTTTGAAAGAAGACAGTCAAACACTAGTACGCATAAGAACAAACACACCTGTTGGGTTTCAGCCTGTGACCTATTCAACCCTTTGTGCGTATTTCAACCCTTTGGAATAGATACTGTTGTTCCCATTTTACGGAAGAGGAAAGAGACAGCAGTTAAGGAAGTTGTCATTTGTTCTCACGTGGCCTAGTGGGGGACATACCCCCAAGTGCTGTGTGCTTTAACCCCCACACTGAACTGCCGCTTCCCAGACGCCAGCACATACCGGTTCTGTCACTGGTGGATCTGAACTTGGGTGCATCACTGAGTGTCCATAAAGTCTTAGTTTACCCACCTGTAAAGTGGGATTTCTTGGAAAGTTGACTTGGTGTTAGTGACAATAGATATCACATCTCCAACATAGTTCCTGATGCTTTTAGATAGACAAGAATTATTTTTTTATTGTGTACGTTTAATTCCTGAGGCATTTCTTCTCTTCCCCTTTGTTCTAATGTTCTTTGGTGGAAGTAGGTAAAACTGTATCAATATTTGCCTTATGATATTTTCAAACAAATATACTTTATTTTAAAGATTTACTTATTTATGCATACAAGAGCCGAGGTGCAGGTGGTGAGGGGATTCACCAGAGACAGGGTGGGAAGCAGAATAGTGTATCGCTACTGAAATACACTGCTGATGGGAGCAGTGGGTGAGACAGGAGAGGTCTCGCCTTGTAGGTGGGTTGGATTGAATTCAGGCCTCAGCGGCTGGTGATTGCTTGATAGCACTGAGACTTCACCCCTGCACCACCACGGAGGCCCAAAACCAAATATACTTTTTAAATCTGGGTTTATTTTTAGGGATTTTGCAGATACCTGGAAAAGCAATTCAGTGACCTGAAACAAAGAGGTGTCGTGATCAGCTTTGATGCTCGAGCTCATCCATCAAGTGGAGGCAACAGCAAAAGGTACTTAAATATTTATATGAAAATATTTTTCTGGCATATTTTATGGTCTTATTTAAAATCACTGTTTCAATAGTTTAACTCTATATACGTTTGTTAGCTATATTACTTAACTATAAAGTGATGGATAAATCCCGTTTGCAGTTTGTAAGAATTCTGGTTTTATGTTTGGGTTTAGAAAATGAAATTATTTAGACACTATAGAATTTAATACCTATCTAAGTGAAAGGCACTTTTAAATGGCAATATTGTTGCTCCCTCCTTATTTTTCACCTAATTTTTCTTCCACTATTCATAAGTCTCTCGAGCGCCTTCCCATTCTTGCATGGCCATTTTAAGCTATATTCTTCCAGGAGTTGCAAACTATAGGCCTCTTTCTTATGTAACTGTGAGGTGATGATGGTGGTGAATGAAGCTGACAATGACAGTGATGTTGGTGGTTATGATCATGATGGTGGTGATGATGGTGGTTGTAGTAGTGGTGATGGTGGTGATAATAGTGATTGTGGTGGTGGTGGTGATGGTGGTAGTAGCAGTGATGGTGGTGATGGTGGTGATAGTGGTGATGATAGTGGTTGTGGTGGTGATGATGGTGGTGGTAGTAGTGGTGATGGTGGTGATAGTGGTGGTTATGGTAGATGATGATGATTGTGGTGATGGTAATGATGGTGGTTGTAGGGTGGTGATGATGGTGATTGTGGTGGTAGTGATGGTGTTGAAGATGGTTGTGGTGATGGTGATAGCGATGAAGGTGGAAGTGATGATGATTTTGATAGAATAGCAGAAATCATTTGAGTGCTAACCATTAGCTAGACCCTTCGGGATTTTCTCATTCCTATGACAACTTGTGAAGTATGGACTTTTATCTCTTTGCCCTATGATCATAAAGTAAGGAGGAGTAACAATTTAATCATAAAGAAGCTGCTACCAGGAGTCAGCAAACTTTCTTTATAGTAAACATTTTACATACTGTGGGCAGTATACTCAGAGTTTTACAATTACTCAGCCTTACCAGGTAGCACAAAAAGAGCTATAGACAACATATAACATGGACACGGCAGTGTGCTGGTAAAACCACACCTGCAAAAACGGGTGTAGTTTGCAACCCCTGATGTTAAATCATGTTACAGGAGCCACTTTTTTTTTTTTTTATGCATACAGAACTGGGGTACTGGCCAGAGGTGTTGGGGTGGTGAGAGGATTCACCAGACAGAGTGGGGAACAGAACAGCCAGATCATCAGAGTACACTGCTGAGGGGAGCAGTGGGCAGGTCAGGAGAGGTCTGCTGCGCCATGTGGTCACCTCCAGGGCGGGGATCAAACTCATGCGGAAGTGGCTTTAGCTTCTCAGTGCTGTGCTTTAACCCGCTGCACCACCAGGGAGGGCCCAGGACCTACTTTTTTTCTTTTTTAAAAAATAATTTTTTTTAAAATCAAGCCAGAATATAAGTATTGTGGTTTCTTAGACTGGATCAACATGCAAATACCTAGTATTAGTGGACAGGCTCATTAATTTTTCAGTGCTGGATGAGTTCATAGAGTCCTAAGCTTCTAATCAAAGAGCGAAGAAGCTTTGATGGGAACAGATGTGACTGTAAGGGAGGAAGCACCGCTGTGTCAAAGATACATGACATCGGCCTGCAGCTTGACTTCAGGGTGCTACAAGATATTCTGGTCGTCAGCTGCAGGCTCACAAATGTGGTTTTCTTGAATAAAGCAAGAGAAGAGCTGTACCTTCGTTGTCTGGCCTTTCTCTGCTTTAGTCCCATTTCTGTAAAACAGAAGTGTGAAACCTGAGGTTCCCAAGTCCCGGCCAGCTTGCATATTCTCTGCCAACCTGACCGTACTCGATGCTTTCTGATCCGGAGGTGACCGATGACTAAGGAAGCATGAGATACGCTGCCGTCTGCAGCATCACCTCTGTCCTGACCGCTCTCCTGTCTCTCCTCGCCACATTGTGTTTCCAGATTTGCCCGACTTGCTGCAACCACATTTGTCAGTCAGGGGATCCCTGTGTACCTCTTTTCTGATATCACTCCAACCCCCTTTGTGGTAAGTAACTGTTGCCTTTAATGCTTTCCTGCCATAGGCTCGGGGATGGGACCCAGCTGAATGTCACATTGGAAAATGCCTTTAGCTATTGTAGACCGCACACACAGGTATTTGAGTGACAGGGAACACCTGGCACGTGTTGGGTGCTCTCTCTTTCTCCAGGAATGTTTTCCCCCACATTCCAGCATTGTTTCTCTGATGTGCATCTTTTGATTCGTCAGAATTGATTTTTTTAAGTGCACTTTTTTTTTTTTTGCTTGCATTTGAGGATATTGGAGCTCGTTAACCAAATGCCTTTTGTTTTTCTTGTTTAATTTTAAGTTGTTCACTCCTTTCCCAACTATCACATTTGGGTAATTTCTTGAATCGAAATCTGGATTCTCAAGCCATGCCTACCATGAAGAATTTTGACAAGATAGTGCACCAGCTTTTTATACAAATGTTTTTTTATTTTTTAAAAAAAACGATTTGTGTATAAACAATAATGAACAACCATATACCAGAGACATTTTGCAGGGGTGGAGTGAGGAATGGGATCAAGAACCGGGGGGTGGGGAGGGAAGTGCATGGGATTATGGTGATGGCACATGGGTGACTTGGTGATGGGAAACCCGTGGGGATTACAACTGAGATGGAAAAAAAAATGTACAAAATGATGTAAAAATATAATGTTATAAAATTTAAAAAAAAGATTTGTGTATATATGCATATAAGAACTGGGGTACAGGCCAGAAATGCAGGGGTTCAGGATTCACCAGGGACAGAGTGGGGAGCAGAACAGGCAGATGTACTGAAATACACTGCTGAGGGGAGCAGCGGGCAAGACAGGAGAGGTCTGCCGTGCCATGTGGGTCACCTCCCTGGCCAGGGACAGAACTTCTGCTGCAGTGGCTGCAGATGGCTTCATAGTGCTACAAGTTAACTCCTTGCACCATCAGGGAGGCCCCACATGTTTCATTTTTAATAGCGCATGTTTTTTTAAAAGATTTATTTATTTATGCATACAGAACTGGGGTATAGAACAGGTGCAGGGGTGGTGAGAGCATTCACCAGAGACAGAGTGGGGAGCAGAACAGGCAGATGGACGAATTACACTGCTGAGGGGAGCAGCGGGTGGGTCAGGAGAGGTCTGCCGCGCCATGTGGTCACCTCTGGGGCGGGCGGGGATCAAACTCATGCGGAAGTGGCTTTAGCTTCTCAGTGCTGTGCTTTAACCCGCTGCACCACCAGGGAGGGCCCAGGACCTACTTTTT